CTGGGCAAAACGAGAGAGAGGTCTAGAGGCGAGGTCTGAAGTTGGAGAGGGCGAAACTCAAGAGAGGTCTGGAGGCGGGGTCTGAAGTTGGAGATGTCTGGGCGAAACTCGAGAGAGGTCTGGAGGCGAGGTATGAAGTTGGAGATATCTAAAGTTGGAGAGGGCGAAACTCGAGAGAGCTCTGGAGGCGAGGTCTGAAGAAAGCTCTGGAGGCGAGGTCTGAAGAGAGCTCTGGAAGCGAGGTTTGAACAAAGCTCTGGAGGTGAGGTCTGAAGAGAGCTTTGGAGGTGAGGTTTGCAGTTGGAGATGTCTTAAGTTGGAGATGTCTGAAATTGGAGAGGGCGAAACTCGAGAGAGGTCTGGAGGCAAGGTCTGAAGAAAGCTCTGGAGGCGAGGTCTGAAGAGAGCTCTGGAAGCGAGGTTTGAACAAAGCTCTGGAGGTGAGGTCTGAAGAGAGCTTTGGAGGTGAGGTTTGCAGTTGGAGATGTCTTAAGTTGGAGATGTCTGAAATTGGAGAGGGCGAAACTCGAGAGAGGTCTGGAGGCGAGGTCTGAAGTTGGAGATGTCTGAAGTTAGAGAGGGCGAAACTCGAGATAGGTCTGTAGGCGAGGTCCGAAGTTGGAGACGGAGCTTTTAATTTTCACTAAAAATGCAAAAGCTTTTAATGCATGACGTGTCTTAAAGATTATTCCTGAGTCGTTGTTGCCGAGCTTACTCGTGCTTGAGGTTTTCAATAAGGTTGAGTCCGAACAGGCAGGTATAGAGAAGGGTTTAAATAGACGGGATCATAAGAATAAGGATGGATTGGAATGGGTTTCTCATACTGTGAGACATTGGTTTGGGGGTTCCAATAATGCCATCCCATAGATGGAACGGCTCTGATACCAATTGATAGGTGTTGAAGGTAAAAACTAGGCGGGTAGTAATTAGACCAACTTAAAGATGAGGAGGAGGATGATGAAGGTGAGGACCCTCGGTATGTGAGAGCATTCGGTAAGTACATAGGCATGCATACAGAAGACAAATGTACGTGGTTCACCCGAATAATGGGCTACGTCCACGGAGAAGTCTGTTCTCATTATGATAAAGACTGTATACATTGCACATAGGGTTAGACCCAAGGAGAGGAGGAAGAATGTCGGAGGCTGATGGCCGAAGGCGGAGGGCCGAAGGCGGAGGGCCGAAGGAAGAGGGCCGAAGGATGAGGGCCGAAGGCTGAGGATCTAGCTGAAGGCAAATGATCTGTGGGCTTATAAATGGGCTTAGGAGTAAGCCCATGAGGCCCTTATGAGCCATATGGTGCCCTAGTAGCCTGTCTAACTCTCCCCTCTTTCTTGAAGGAGAGAAGTCTCCTTTTATAATTGAGGGAGAGTCTCATCTTCTTATGTTTTGTCGATGTGGGACTCCTTTTCCTTTGCTTTGATTGGCTTGGGAGTGCTTGACCAGATATTGTACAAACAGGAGTCCCCCAACTTCTCGATTAAGGAGGTACTTCTTGATTAGGGACTTGTAGTCATCAATGCACTGGCCAAGCAATGCTTCAGCTTCTTCTTCGCTTTCTCTTGTATGCAGCATCGGTGCAGAGTTGTTGAGTCAGTACCCGCTGATCACCAAAGGTAATGGTACTGAGTGCTGAGTAGCAATTATTGAAGGGTATGGAGATTGAGTCGCATG